ATATGGTTGCAACACTAAAACACACTTAGAAAACATCAATGATATCAAAATAATATGACATGACTTTTTTGTGATCCTTGTAGTATTTAAATTAATTAAGGTATTTAATTAAATCTCAATTTAGATAAAGGTGCATGGAGATAGTGGAGTGCGGCATCTAAAAGCACCAACATGTTAATCAAACAATTTTTTCTATTATCACATGTAGATAGATAGATAAGTACTCTATTGATCCCAATTTGGGACATTTTTGCATTGCAGCAGAATAAAAAACAAGGCAATGTACATAAGAGAAATTAAGACACAAGAAATAAACAGTGATGGACATTTGTTCTGTAGATGTAAGTGTATCTCTGCTCTGTGTTGTGTTTTCAGGGACATCACAAACATGAAGGGGACCATCGTGGCCCAGGTGGACTCCAGCGAGGCGTTTCAGGAGTTCTGCAGCACGGGTTGTCTCGGAGCGTACGAGAACAAACAGAACCCGCCCAAATCAATCCTCAAAACCAAATGTACCGTCTGCGGGAAACTCACAGAGGTCAGTACTCCTTTCCTTTCCTTTACCTGTCACTCTCAAGCAGAGCAACACATGCCTCTATGCTCCTGACAATGGAATGAATAATTAAGTAGTTGAATAAAGTCTAAAGAGGAAGAACCAGATCGTGTGAAAGTCTGCAGCTGTTCTCGTCTGTACTGAAGTATAATTATGGTTTAAGCAATCTCCAGGTGTTTGTAATAATCTGACTCCCTGAGGATGCACAACATTACGAACGTCCTTAAATATAATGCAGTCCAACACACAGAGAGTAGAGTGTGGCTGCCGTCTAAACAAAGTCCTATTCGTCACCCTTTCCTCTCTTTTCTCACCCCTTAATGAATGTTATCTTACCCTCATTTCATCGCCTCTGTCTCTCCTTTTCTTCCTCCTCAGGCTGCTTTCATTCAATATTTATACCTTTCTTCTTCCTCGTCTGCCTTCACTCTTCTCTTGTTCTCTCCTTTCCCGACTTCTCTTTTTTCTCCATTAGTAACATTCAGTATGGTGTGTTACGGCCTCCAACTCAGTCTCCATGGCATCCTTGAACAAAACCAGTCTCAAAATTGGAGAGAATAGTTCCTCCCACTTCAAAATAAAGCCTTAGTCAACTAGTTGGTGGTTGTCCCAGCTCCACAAGTGTATCCAAATTAAATTAACCAACATCCGTTACTTGAGAGCATTGCAAGACTTTCCTCACAGTGTTTTCCAGCTCTCCCATTCAGTATTAATCTGTGGGATGGTTCTGCATCACGGCTAACCAGTACTTCTGTCACATAGCAACCACAACCATCTGCATTTATAACATCTTAAAAAATCATTTTGCATCACTTGTGCATACTTCTTGAATAATCTGCGAATAAAAGCAATAGCAATGCCCCAATGAAACTACACTAGTGCTTTCAACAACCTCTGAAATGTCTAAATTGACCAATCAGAATCCAGTATTCAACCAAGCTGTCTAATAAAAGTCTATAGCCCCTATGACTGCGGCTGCTAACGTCAGCTAACGTGTCGCTTATAGTGTATCAGTCAAACAAACTCTAGTGTACGCCAACTGTGGAAAGGTAAATAAAGTAAAATTCTTCAACTCTTGCAGTTTTCCCTTCTGCATTTCTCTCCCTCTCCAAAGATCCGGCACGAGGTTAGCTTTAAGACTGTGACCCATAAGATCTGCAGCGACACGTGTTTCAATGTTTACCGACGGGCCAACGGGTTGATCATGAACTGCTGTGAGCAGTGTGGAGACTACCTGCCCTCCAGATCCACCGCCAACCACTTCCTGCTGGTGGACGGCCAACAGAAACGCTTCTGCTGCCAGAACTGCATCAGGGACTTCAAGCAGGTACTGTAGCTCTGTGTGTGTGTTGTGGTGTGTGTGTGTGTGTGTGTGTTGGTGTGTGTGTGTGTGTGTGTGTTGTGTGTGGTGTGTGTGTGTGTGTGTGTGTGTGTGTGTGGTGTGTGTGTGTGTGTGTGTGTGTGTGTGTGTGTGTGTGTGTTGTGTGTGTGTGTGTGTGTGTGTGTGTGTGTGTGTGTGTGTGTGTGTGTGTGTGTGTGTGTGTGTGGTGTGTGTGTGGTGTGTGTGTGTGTGTGTGTGTGTGTGTGGGTGTGTGTGTGTGTGTGTGTGTGTGTGTGTGTGTGTGTGTGTGTGTGTGTGTGTGTGTGTGTGTGTGTGTGTGTGTGTGTGTGTGTGTGTGTGTTGTGTGTGTGTGTGTGTGTGTGTGTGTGTGTGTGTGTGTGTGTGTGTGTGTGTGTGTGTCCATTTAAAATTCAACTATTTCAATCATTTCAGCTGTGGTGACCCCCCCCTCCTACACACAGCCAATGAACTGCCCCCACAGCTTCTGTAATGTACTACAGTACAATTATTAACCTGACCTTACACCTCCTAAAATATAAAAAAAAGTACACACCATTAATGGGGAATACATATCCAAGTGGACAGCAAATGATCATTAAATGAATGCAAAATGCTGCTCAAGTAATGAAGATTTTTTAGGCTTTTACGGGGAATCCAGAGGAAGGACATCTTTAAATATCACTCAGTTAGATAGTTGTCGCTTGTTAATGTGTAAATGATGACATACAACAACAGATTTTCGGTAACTAACAAATAGAAAAGTTAACAGAATAATACAATATTTTACAAAATAAACAATAAAAGGTTACAGTTACATTTCACAGATCTAAAAACAGTGGAACAGATTAACCATGGATGAGTTTCAGCATATAACCACCAGGTTAAGTATATCTTTTTTAAGTCAAAGTGCTGTCTTTATGATGGCTGATTTAAAGAAATCACCAACCAGTCTTTCTGTTCAAAACATCCCAATATGTTTATGATCTCCAAATGAAGAATAATAATAATAATTGGACATGTCTTTTTAATTTAAAAGCAAGATCTCTTTTAAAACGTCCAGTAATCCTGTGAATAAATTGTGTGGCAGAATAATATTAACCGGAAATGTTGGAATTGTATTTGTTGCTGGGCAACACCAGCTTATTGGATATTACACTAATAAGAATAGAAGAATCTATGGAGTCTAATTTCAGTGTTATTAAATTCAGTGAACTATGAGCGGATGTTTGTCCAGTAATGAGCTCTCGTGTACAAGTACAAACGTTTGTGGATGATCTAATCCTGGCGGAGAGAAATTGTGAGCATTTACATTTGTTATCTTTTCCATTTCCGACCAGCTATGTCGTCAAGATTTCTCTAGGAAATACACAACTGTTGGCCGCTGGCAAACTGTCCACTCCTCTAATTAGAGAACATTTATTGTGTAGCAGCAGGAGATAAACTCTTAATGATGTTATGCCTGTCAGTTTTTAAACAACAAACGACTAAAAATCCATTTAGTAATTACAGATTTGCACACTGAGGGACATGATTTATTATCCACACACAGATATCATTGAATTATCCTTGTTGTACTGAGAGAATGATGCTTTGTGTCTCAGTGCATATTGAAGACTTTATCAGGTAATGCGATAATTATTAGATTTCTAGGCCTCATGTTGCTTCTCCTAGTCACTGTGATGATCGCAATGGTGCTCTAGGAGGAGATTCAGGTGATAAGGGGGTGGGGGGGTTACCTTGGTTGCTGATTGGCTAATGGTTACACAAGCCAAAACATCGTTATGACATCATAAAGTGGCCAAAATCTGATCCGCTCATTTTCAGACAGGTTTTTATATAAATGGATCAGGACAAAAAGAGAGAGAATCTTTTTCCCTGAAACTTTCAGAGTCTCTTTACACAGAGGGGACACATGTTGATGTAGAGAAGACGTGAAAAAGTGGATTTAGCATAATAGGTGACCTTTTAATATAATCTTATAATCATAAGTTGCTTGTTGTTCTGACGTCATGTCTCCCTCTCTGTCACAGGCCAACAGTAAGCTTGCGAGCTGCCTGACGTGTAAAACTCTGATCAAGACGGGCGAGGTGCTGCACAGCCTGGGGGCGTCCGGCACCATGGGCTCCTACTGCTCCGTCAACTGCATGAACAAGAGCAAGATAGCCTCCACCTCCTTCATCGGTGAGTCACACACACACAACAGCTTTTGCATCAACAACAACAAAAACATTTATAGTTGCTGTGACACAAGCCAATACTGAGAAATAAAAACCCAAGTGGTCAGCAAGTTGTCCTTTAATGAACCACGGCGCTGTTATCTTGTCGCAAATTGATGCTCAAAGGATGAATTTCTTTAGGCTTTAAGGGGAATCCAGAGAAAGGAAATATTAGAATATGAAAAAATAGGGTATTACATGCTTAAAAGTGAATGATGATATACAAGTAGAGTTTCAAAGATCTTCTCAGCTGATGCACATTATTTTTAAAGTCTATCCTGCCGATACCGGTTGTCTCTATTTCTAAAAACTATAATTGACAGCATAGACCAACATTTTGCTCTTTTATGAAAAATGATAATTACATGGTATGCATCACCCTTCATAACACAGAAACAGCTTTTCTGAACCACATATTTTCCAGGTTACAGGGATAGTACTATTCTTTTTTTCTAAGGTACATCCAAAATATTCTTTTCACTTTCAAAGTTTTACAATGCTCAATTTTTTTTTCCCGGAAAAGGACCTTCAGATGAAGTTCTGCACATTTCAACGAATCCGTTAAATTATTCAGCAGATTTGAGCGACTCGAGGTTATGTGGTGAAAGCTGCGCGCTGTCTGAACGTTTATTTGTATATTTTCATGTTCCGATGATTGATAATTGGCTCGACAGAGGAGAATAGAAAAGCTGCTGTTATGAATGCATAAACAGGCATTTGATGTCATTTGATCTTCTGTAAAAGCACCTTTAAAACAAAATCATAAGCTTGTGTATTAAATGCATTTTGCGTGAGTTTGAATGTGTGTTTAATGTGTGTGTGTGTGCAGCCTCAGAGCCTACATGTCACTTCTGTAAGAGGAACTCTTTACCGCAGTACCAGGCCACGCTGCCGGAGGGAAGCATCCTGAACTTCTGCAGCTCGCAGTGCGTCACCAAGTTCCAGGTGAGAGCTCTCTGACATTTCAAACCACTCCTTTTTACAATTTTACAATCTTACAATGGAAGTTAAATGGTCATACCGTGACAATCTACCTCTGATGTCCTCTGGTTTAATAGTTCAAAACACTATTTGGTTAAATGCAGCTGCCATTAGGAGTAGGGATGCTCCGATCGTTAATTTTGGGGCCGATCGCCAGAATCAGTATCGGCCGATACCGATCGCTGATCCGATCGAGTGGGCGGGGCCTATGGGGATCTTCCATTTAAAGTGATGTTTAAAACTCAGTTAATGGGGCTCATTCACTGGCGCTTCCACAAACAACAACCAACATAATTATTACATTCAAATGAAGTACATTATTCAAGTTTACATTCACTTTGGATAATAACACGGGAGAAATTAGCGGAAACGCTCTCTTTTCCTCTCTCTCTCTCTCTCTCTCTCCTGACAGCCTGTCAGTGGGTGTTTCTCAATGTCGAGTAAAGCTGCTCCAGAGCCACTATTTCAAGCATACTACGTCATCGAGTGCCGCCGAAGAACTGTTCCAATCTCCAGCATACTTGGAAATCTACCGAGCCCGGCGTACTCCGTTTGGAGAAATATCGAGTGTGCACATGAGTAGACTCCGCGGTCTTAAAATCCCCACAATGCTTTGCGCACGGACCAATTTCCCCAAATCTGTGGCGGAAGTTGTAAGGCGGGGCCTCTCATATGACGCACACCTGCACACTTGCTAGCGTGTTCCACTCTTTGTTTTCCGAATGCCAGGAAGTATTCTTGACTCGCTTCTGAAGCAAGATGCTCGGCAGACATGTGCTACCAAGCAAGCGTCCTCGCGATTGAGAAACACCCACCATCTCATGCAGCTCACTGATCCAGTAATGAGTGACCCGACAGTGAAGAATAAATATATGTATAACTAGTTTAGCTTGTTCCAGAGGTAGATAACATAGCTAAGTGTGTTGGGTCTAACTCTTAGTGTGTGCTTCGCTCCGGTCCCCGGTCCGTCACAGCGGGTGGAGCTGCAGGATTTCTGCTTCCCACACACGTTGCATACCGCTATTTTATTGTCATTTTCAGACACCTTAAAATACTGCCAGACCGGTGAAGCCATTTTGGCGAGCTTGTTTTGCCGCGCACAGAGAACAGTGTCATGTATTTTACGTCATGCTATCGGCTCTCGCGATCGGCATTTTTAGAGAGCACCGATCGATCGGCAGAGAGTGAGTATCGGCCGATATCGATCGGAGCATCCCTAATGAGGATGATGCTGAAAATAACCATACATAGTAATCTTATGCAAAACATGTTTAAACAATTAGATTAATAACGACTTATTGATACTTGGTTTTAACTTGTGTGGATCAGAGCTTGTGTCCCAATTTCTTTACACAATAATACGGACCTAAACTATACTTGATAAGAAATAAAAGTTGTGAAAATGAAACCCAGATACACCATTATCATTATTCTTATGAACAGCAGCTCAAAAAACATGTAACAGCTCAGGTTCCCTCAGTGGACTCCATGACCTAATTAGCTTTTTAAGCACCACATTGCATACATTTACATTTGAACAAGAATGTTGTACTCTATCCCTGTTTACAACACACTTCATATCATAACACCCACATACAAAGACAAGTTAGTGGGTGTAGAAATATTTGCAAGTCAATGTATTAATTCGATGTGTTAATTACCTCTGTAAGTACAACCACTATTACGTTGGCCATTACCCACGTTGGAGGTTGTTACACATGAACAGTTGTTCATTTTCTCTGTGTTTTATTTATTTTTCCAGAACACCACTCTTCAAACGGCCACCAACGGACAGACGGCGCTCTCCACCAGGAACAACAGCGTGCAGCTGAAGTGTAACTACTGTCGAGGAGCGTTCAGCCTGAGGCCGGAGGTCCTGGAGTGGGAGGTGAGACTATCAGGGGGGAGAGATTTGTCATTTGTATTCAGGTATCATCGACGAACTGTCCCTTTTTTTACTTTCACTGAGTGAGGGGAATTTGAAGTGTGACAGCAGCAGAAGAACAAAAATGTGTACAGATGAATAGTAAGGTTACAAAAAAAGAAAAATGTGACTATACAAGAACCATTTAATGCAAAATGACAAGGCAACTAGTACAAATACAATATGACCAGTGTACTTAAAGGGGACCTATCATGCAAAATGCACTTTTTGATGTCTTTTATACATAAATATGTGTCCCCGGTGTTCCAGGGAACTCACGCAGCGTCAGAAAATAAAACCCTGTCTCTTTTTTCCTCCGTACCCAAATCTCTAAAAACGGGGCTACAACGGAGCTGATCCAGATTTGCGTCCGATCTGACGTAATATCGGAAATGTAGGCTGGCTTTACACCCATGGGCCTATCAGAAACGTTGCTATCAGAAACAATGCCCGACTGTTTTGGACGTAATATGGTCGGTGCATGTTCACATTAGCATCGCTAACACTCAGAGCTAACCTGTACTGGAGAGCATGTGTGTGAAGAAGCAGGAAATAAAAAGGAACTCACCTTGTGGTATAACCGGCAAGAGAGAAAGCCTTTGAGCTCCATACTGTTTCAGAAATAATCCTTGATAATCCATGATATGGCGTTTCATCACGGCAGTATTTAGTTTAGACAGTAGCTGCCGGGTCCCGCATGAGCTCAGACCCCTCCTTTATTATTTTTTTATCAATCTTTTTTTTTTTTTTTTAAAGCTTTATACCCAAAATCAGCACTTTTGAAACAGGAAGTGAAATAGAGGGATATGAGGCATGGCTAGAATGGGTGATCTGTTTGGTATTTTGAGCAAAACACTTCATAGACATGTTTTTGTATATATCTGAGACCTGTGCTATTGCCTACAAATAGCATGATAGGTGACCTTTAAACTTCAGTAGTGTAAAACAATGAAGATGCTCAAATGTGTGTCTGCAACCAGTCAATGCAATACTTTAAAAAATACTTAAGGAAAACTGTCAATATTCACTAGTTCTAGCTTCTCAAATGTGATCATTGTTTTATTCCCCTGTGATCATAAATTCCAGTACAAATGTTTTGATTTTGGTCTTTTATAAATCAATGCATTGGTGTCAACTTGGACTCCTGGAAAGTTGTCATTTTTGACACTGACAGTTTAGATTTGCATAAATATTTTTAAAATAATACAAATTCACTGGAACAAATAGATTTTATAGACTTAACGATTAATCAGTTAAGTTAAGAAAATAACTGACGGATAATCAAGTAGTCCAGCTCGGCTCAGGAATAAAGTGACGAGTTAAGAAAACCTTTGTGTCAAAGCCGATTATAAAAATAAAAATCATGCACAATGAGCATATATGTAATTTAATGTTTTAGACATTAGAGGTTCAATATATATATCCAAATGTGTGTTTGTTCAGGAAAAGGCGTACCAGTTCTGCAGTAAGACGTGCTGCGAGGACTACAAGAAGCTGCACTGCATCGTGACGTTCTGCGAGTACTGCCAGGAGGAGAAGACGCTGCACGAGATGGTCAAGTTCTCCGGAGTCAAGAGACCCTTCTGCAGCGAAGGTATCAATCTGCTCTCCTCTGGAGGACACTTCGTTAATCTGAGTCATTTGAAGTAGTCGGAGGCTGATTTGATCCAATAGAGAAAGTAAAAAGTGTCACATGAAATCACTTAATCTCTCATATTCACAATATCTCTCACGATAAAGGCAATATCCAATATAGGCTCAATATACCTACACAAATGTGCACAAACTATGAATTGTGCTTATCTATGACACGTTCAAATGTATAAGAGCTTGGTATTTCTCCTCATACACCCTACCGTATGTTAATCCTGATGGCAGACAGGAGGTTTCCCACCTCTTAGGGATGTATTAATACATATATATAACTTTTATAGTACAATTAAATCTGTGTAAAAGTTAGATGAAACAACTAAATATGCAGCGTGACAATTGGTTTTCAACGCCTGTTTGTGTCTTTGTGTGTGTGTTCAATACTTTTGTAGTGATTTTTAGGCAAAGTTTAAAAAATGTTTGTATATCTGTTGTTTAATATCCAGGATTTAGCTTTATTGCCTCTGGTCGAGATGGATTTCCTTTTCATTGACAATTGTCTTTGTCTTTCTCTTTCCTCCTCTTCTCTTCCTTCCCCCCCCCCCAGGCTGTAAGCTGTTATTTAAGCAGGACTTCATCAAGCGCCTGGGTCTGAAGTGTGTGAGCTGTAACCACTGCAGCCAGCTGTGTAAGAGAGGTTTGACCCGGCAGCTCGGAGGCATGACGCGAGACTTCTGCAGCGAGGCCTGCGCCAAGAAGTTCCACGACTGGTACCACAAGGTATCATACTCACTGAAGCCTTTAATAAATGAACACACAAATATATCTGTCACAGCTTCCTTACTTTGTTTCCATCAAGTAGGGCTGCACGCTTTGGGGAAATAATCTAATTGCGATTTTTCTGACAGATATTTGTTTTTAAGCGACCCAACGGAAGTTTATTGTAAAATGCGGCCATATCTCCGGCTAGGAAGGTCGTATCAACGTGCTCCCGTCTCTAGCACCCCCGCAGCCCGAGCTACGAGTGAATGAACTAAACTTACATGAAACTTCCGTTGGGTTGCTTTAAAGTCAAGCTTCAGTTAAAGATTCACCCTGTAACACATGTGATGGAGCATTACTAACCTGACTCAGATGGTTTGTTTCACCAAACCATCTAGGAAAGCTCCATTGGAAGCCATTTGGAAAAGTATTTAAAAAATACTTGGCAGGTGATTGGATCAATCTGTCTATCACCTTCTATCATGGGCCACTTCTGATTGGTTAACAATGACTGGTACATGTGGAGCACAGCACTTCTGATTGGTGTGGATGACTGACACACAAGAAGAACACATTTTTTTTTTTTTAAATATAATAATAATTGCATCATTTAAAATCGCGATTTCGTTTTAAAATCAATTAATCGTTCAGCCCTACCATCAAGCCACTCAGACGCTTTAAACAGACCGTTCGAACGCATTATCTGTTCATTTATTAGTTTTACTTACAGTTGTGAGGAGTTGTTCTCCTTCGGATGATGTGTTGATGCTAGTCGCGTTTAATCTAAATAAAATGAAAACATTCAACAAACATTCAACAAAGAAAATAGGCCTTTCTTCAATAGTCAAACAAATCAAAACAAAAGAGGCACAACTCAAATACAAGAATAAAAAACAGAGATCGTCTTTCTATTACTTTATGTAGGCTAATATAACTTACTGGTTAAAAACGGTGTCTTGATGGCGTCTTCCACACAGGTTGCCCATCTCTGTGTCTCTTAAGGGAAATGTAGTCTTTCATAGTCTTGACTACAGAGGTCACCATTAAGTAACAATATTCTGCTTTTTTTGATAAAATCTAAAGACTGGCTGTAACGATACCCCTGCAGGAATATGTTTTTGTGTCCTGAAGTTCCTCTTGTCTCCACCAGGCGGCGAGGTGTGACTGCTGTAAGGTTCAGGGGAGCCTGACGGAGTCTGTGATGTGGAGGGAGGAGATGAAGCAGTTCTGTGATCAGGACTGTCTGCTGAAGTTCTACCTGCAGCAGAACGACCCCATCATGGTCACACAGAAAGGCCCCGAGAACTGCACCGTGGGTAAGAACTGATTCAAAGTCAACTTTATTGTCAATCTTTCAGTTTGTGTGTACAGACGGAGAGATCGAAATACCATTTCCCACAATCCCGAATACAAAAATACAAAAATATGTATATCCTATATATACATAATCAACAGTATACATATGCACACATAGAGAACCGCAGTGACGCGTCCTAAAACCCGGATGTAAACTCCTTCCGGTTCCTTCAACAAAAAAGCAATGCAATTTCTCCATAGGATTTAGGAAAATAGCTGGAAATAAGGTCTGTGGTTGAAACTCATTTAAGAGACGGATCACGTTTTGTTCAGCCGGATAATCTCCACATGTCTACCCTACTTTTATCATTTTCGAATCATAAAACTAGTCGCCAGAAGCAAAATGCTAATGTTATGCTATAAACGAACTACAACAGGGTCGCTGCCAACTTAAGATCCATATTCAAACATACAGATTCTAAATGGAACAAGTTGAAGCGTTTGTTTGAACAGTTTGCAGGAGGCAGGTACTTGCTTTCAAGCAGAACAGGGCAAACAAACTTAGAGGAGTGTTTACGTGTTCGGTGTAATGACGTACAACGGCCTGGACAACTTCTGTAGTCCTATTCAGCCACTTGTTAACAACCATTGTTTTTCAGACACGTAAACTCTTCAGAAATCACCAGTGGGGTCACTGCTGATGGATTTAATGTCGTAGAACAAAACGTGATCCGTCTCTTCAATGTGTTTCAACCACAGACCTTAGTTCCAGCTATTTTCCAAAATCCTATGGAGAAATTGCATTGCTTTTTGTCGAGGGAACCGGACGTGGTAAAATGCTAACTTACTTCCGGGTTTTAGGACACATAAATACAAGCACAACAATCAATATATAAAATATTAACAGTCACTTCAATATCTTTGGGAAATGTACATTAGTGCAAGATTGTCCATAGTAGCATAAAAAGTGTTTCTGTGTTTGTGCACGTGTGCGTTTCCTTTAGAGTTCTTCATTTGACCGTATCAAGCAGGTTTTCATTAAGTTACATTTGATCGAGCTGATGCTTTTATCCAAAGACACTTACAGTAAGTGCAACCAACCATGAAACACACTCCAAAGAGTTAGCATCCTGCAAGTGCATTAGCTTTTAATTAGCCAAAAGATGTAAGTGCTATGTGCAGGATAGATATTTATTTTATTGTTAAAGGTGCAGTTTTCTTTTCCATGTAACAGAAAATGTACGAGGGAATGAATTCACTTTATCTAAAGCATATTTACACAAAAACAAATATCTTGTCTGCCTGCTTTATTTGATTATTTATATGTACATTTTTTATTTTCCTCTCTACATGGTATGAAGCGCAAGGGGTCAAACTTGGGGTAAGTGAGAATTTGTAAACGTTTTTATAAGGTTTTATTTGAGTTTCTGAGACATCACTTGTTGCTTTGTCTGAATTATTTGTTGTGCATTCGTCTGCCAACATGTAAACACATGTGTTCTAGAGATCTATTTGGTTAGCTGAATATATTTTCTGCTTTACAAGACTTGTGTGTACTTTCTGTCCTTTTTAGAAAAACCACATTTTAATGTTTGCACTCTTTTCCCTGGCATGTTGCAGATGGTGAATCAGGGCACTCTGGCGTACGCTGGGGGAGGCTTGATGAGAGACGTGAAGAACAAGGCGGTGCTCTGCAAGCCGCTCACGCTCACCAAGGCTACATACTGCAAGCCTCACATGCAGAGCAAACTCTTACAGACAGGTAAACAACCAGCTTACTTAGAAGTGTGCAAAAACTGAAGTAGTATTTTTCTTTTGGATACAATATTGGTGAGATAATGTTAGTTTGCATAAGGGAAATGATATGATGTAGAATTGGGGCATTTCTTCAGTTCATGCAGCTTGACCTACATAATCACAACTTCTTGATGCATCAGTAAACACATGGATTTGCATATATAATGTTATCGGCATATGTGTGTCCACAGATGTAGACGATGGTGTGAAGAGGGAGTATATTCCTGTACCGATACCTGTGCCTGTCTTCATCCCCGTACCCATGAACATGTATTCCCAGTTCACCCCCACTCCATTCACTCTGCCTGTACCGGTAAGACATGACAAACGCACTGATTATTCATGCTAAACGGCAACAAGACTTTAACATACAATAGAGAAAATCTATCATAAACGTTAGAATAGAATAGAATCAAGCATTCATACTTCAATATACTGATAAAGTTGAAGTGCAGGAATATATCGGTTTAAGTTATAATACAAGGCTGCTTAAGTGTCTGTTGTAAGGTCGAAAAGAAAAGAATTAGGAAACACTTGTTAGTTGTTAGTGTCACCCAAGCAAAGTAAGCCATTCATCAATTAAAGTTGTGATGCCCTGTGTTCTCCAGGTCCCTGTGCCTGTGTTCCTGCCCACCACCCTGCAGGGGGCGGAGCAGCTCATCCAGACCTTCAAAGATCTGAAACGAGAAGCTCCCTCAGACCCTCCGGAGGCCGATAAGCTCTCTGAGGCCGAGGTGATTTCAGACGACGAGAAGCCAGGTACACTCATGATGTCTCCATTAATACACATGAGATGATATACTTCAGTGTTTCCGCCAGACCAGGGCTGGGGTGTGACGTCGCGTTGTGTCACGTGACTTGAATTTTGAATTGAGCCGTCCCTTATAGATATTATCTCTTTACGTATTAGTGATGGGAATTCCGGCTCTTCTTCTGGCGCGTTTCCACTACAGCGCGGAGCACGGTTTAAGAGGGCTGTGACGTCAGCGGCCCGTTTTTGGTTGCGTTTCCACTTAGCCTAGTACCGGCCGGCGGGTCCTAATTCACAGTTTTTCTGGCCTCATAAAATCGTGGGTCTAGGGCCAGAGACAACGAGGCTGAGTCGGGCTGAGTATGCTAAACTAGAGAGAGAATCGCTGGCAAGGGGGCAACAACTACAACAAGATGGACATATTTGACCGTGATTTAATTGTAATACACGTTTCAAAATGATGCCGAAGTAACAACATACTGATACCGGTTAGTAAAAACCATGAATTAATGCTTTGTCAAGTCTGCAGACAGACGGCAGGGGAAAAACCTTTTAAAATGCGTGTTTTCTAAATGGAGATTGGCTAAGCTAACGCAGTATATGCTCCGACCGTCCACACTCACAACAACGGCCTATACAGACATAAATAAAGCAGCGACTGTATTCGCCATGACACAGGCAGTCTGTGGTTTGTACTTGTTTAACTTTTGTCTAGTTTCTGAACATATATGAGGAGCTGTGAGCTCTGAGTGCTAACAGCTAACGGCTGTGTTGTTTTTCTGGGGTTCTCATTGAAGATGACGTCACGGCTCCGCCTACACTGCGTTACTATAGATACTACCCCAGTTCCTAAACTGTAATGGAAATGCGCCATAAAGTGAGCCAGTCCTAACGAGGCCTAGCCATACCGAGCGAGGCCGTGTAGTGGAAATGCGCCATAAGTGACTAGTCAGTAGTCACTAAGAAGAGCCGTCTCTTTCGGCTCCTAAACGGCTCTTCATGTTACCACAGTTTACCACGGAGCCTCAGTTTTGCCGCTGCGAGGCTCCGGCGCTCGCCGTTCACGCGCGTGCTCCACTAGCACCCCCCGTCAAGGCTCGCCGGCAGTACACTTTCCGTCACAGGAACACGCTTTGCTGGCGGCGAAAATAATCCCACCAGACTCCTTTGCCCCTCCAACAGAGGGATGTCCTTGTCCTTTTTCCTTTTCGTCATTTCAAGCGATAAAAACTCGATCTTCTCTCGAATTATTATTATTTTTTGGACGCCCTCGGCTCCAGTTCAGGGCGTCAAATGACGGCAAGACGCCCCCTGGCGGAAACGCTGATATACTTAATGTGATGAATGCAGAGCTTATGGACATTCTTGAGATTTCATTTGACTTAGAAATACAGCTCAACGAACTGGAAACACTTACTAAGGTTAAAAGTATTGTCATATTTGATTTTCGCCATTTCCCACAGTTCAAAAAGTGTTGACTGTAAACAACCTGGCTGTGTGTTTCAGACGTGAAGCTGGTGAAGAGGGAGCGTCGAGAGAAGAAGGCCTCCAGCAGCAGCTCAGAGGAGGAAGAGGAGAAGGATGAAGAGAAGAATGAGGATATGGAGGAAGAGAAGGCAGAGGAGAAGGTGGAGGAGGAGGAGGAGGAGGAGAAGAAGGAGGACGAGGAGAAGAACGAGCAGAAGAACGAGCAGGAGAACGAGGAAGAAATGGAGGATAAGGAGGAAGGAAAGGATGAGGAAGAGTACGAGCCCGACCTTGACCTGGAGGCAGACTTTCCTCAAGGTAAACACCTACTATACATTTACTTTAAGACCTATAATGCTTGAAGGTAAAAAGTAGAGAATAATTTGGAACTAAGCCTTTGTCTTATCACCTACCTTACCTGGTTTTATCTGAGTAACATGGTGTCTTCACTGCATGAAGACTCTGTATTCATTCTTACGGCACATGCATTTCCAAACATTTGGTCTACCTATGTTGTAAATGTATTATCTTTTCACTGTACACACGGCATCTATTGCACGTCTGTCCGTCCTGGGAGAGGGATCCCTCCTCTGTTGCCCTCCCTGAGGTTTCTCCCATGTTCCCCTTTAAGCTGTGGGGTTTTTCTCTGGAAGTTTTTCCTTGTACGATGTGAGGGTCTAAGGACAGAGGGTGTCGTTTTGTCATATTGATATTCTCTACAAATTGTAAAATCCACTGACAAATGTAACATGTGATATTGGGCTATATAAATAAACATTGATTGATTGATTGATTGAGATGTTGTTTGGTGTCTCAGCCTCAGAGCATGTTCCAGTCCTGGAGGGGATGGACGAGGACCTGGGCTTCTCTCTGCCTCTGGTGCTGGCTGAGGAGAAGGAGGAGCCTGCGCTTCGACCGCAGCCCAGGACACAGGTAGGAATTCAAACTAATAGAATAGAATATATATTTATTGTCATCATACAAAGTACAACGACATTTCTTTGGCAACTCTCACTGCAGTCAAAAATAGACACAACTAAATAAATAAGAGTGGTAAAAGCAGAGGTAGTAGCGATGAGAGTGCAACCAGATACAATTCAATGTCAATGTGCATATTTACACTTACAGTCTAAAAACTTTAAATGTACAAAACTGTATAAATGTAGTGTATTTCTAACTGAGTGTTCATAAAGGGTTATAGTAACCAAAGGATGCAAGTAAAATAGCCATAAATATTTCAAAATAGTAGTGGTTGCAGTCTTTGAGGGGCTAGTTTATGAAAGTACCAAAATAAAATGTTTCTACTAGCCATTTTAAGTTTACTGTGTGTGTTACAGGGGAACAAGAAGCAGGCGATGGAGGAAGGCTCAGATTGTGCCTCGTCTTCCTCTCCAGTAGACAGACTGTCGGGGCGGTCGCTGCCTCTCAAAGCTCGATACGGAGTCAACGCCTGGAAACGCTGGGCGATGTCTCCTGACCAATCAGACGACACCAAAGTAAAGGACAGCTCCAAACCAGGTGAGCTAAACCGGATCATAAACTTACTCTGATGGCTGAGTAGTATGGAGGACTAAAGCTGCTGCTGTTATAATAATTCAAGAAATGATTCAGTAAAATAGACAATCTTCAGGTTAATTTGAAAATAATATATAAAATGTATATAAAAATGTGTTTCATTATTTTTACATTAACTCTTGTAATTATTTATTTTCATATTTGATTATCTTTCAATATTATTTCCATGTGTACATTTGTTGTCCTTATGGTTATTTCTTTCCATTTTATTTATTTCTCTTCTCTCTTGCTAAGAGCTCTCCATGTTTGTTCTCCTGCAGGTCGGTCTAAAAGCAACCTGCTGTCTCTGAGCTCAGAGGAGCTGAACGCCGCTCTGTCCCGGTTTGTGAGGGAGGTCTGCCGGCCGGGGGGGGAGCGATACTCTGCGGACAGCATCTTCTACCTCTGCCTGGGGATCCAGCAGGTGGGTACCAAACCAGGGAAACAAAACTACAGAAACACTGCAGCACAAATCCAGCAAGTCATAGACCATGAACCCCCCAAAAATTAGAACATTGGAGCTGGACACAAATTATTGAGATTGCACCACATGTCAGTAGATCCAATCCATTTGATATAGGGATCGTTTGAATGCCAGTTATAAATTCACATGAGGTTAACACAGAGAAATGTCCGCGGCAAAATTAAAAGAAAAGAGACAGCGGGTTGGAGGGTTTCTTCAGATACAACCAAACATTATTTTAATGGGAATTAAATGAGGATTGAGATGGATTTTTTTAAATCCAGTCTATAATTGTTTTTTAGGAAAATCCTAATAGTTGTGCCTATAAAATAATAACATTATTAGTCATAAAGGAAATTGTTGTGCAGCAGTTGCAACAAAAACAGGAACTCATTTCTGGTTTGTTTAGTTTAAACTTAAAACACAAAAGCATGGACCATGTGGTTGGCCCTGTGGTGCATGTCCGACATTGTCCGTCCTTTTTTTTCTTCCTCATTTCCTGTCCCCTCTGTCGATATTTAAAAAAGCAAATATCCCATTAACATATTATTATACAAAAAAATAATTAGAAAGCTATTGAAATGAAGAGATTCAAAGGCATGGCAATATTTGCGATGTTATCAGTGGCGTTATCACAGTATTAGTTATTGACTTGCTCCAAACTACTGAATATAATAACTAAAATAACATTTCTTTATATAAAATCTAAATATTTTACATTTGAGATAATGTCATAAAACAATGAAAAAGACTTGGCATAGTCAACTTTCCTTTATTCTTTTATAATGCCATTTGTGGTCATTTTAGAGGTAGGAACTAAAGTGAGAGAGGGAGTGTTCCCAGAGGGACGGATATAACAGGCGCACAGTCTCTCCTTCCCTCACACGGGAGCAGCAGCAGAACAGCATGGCTGCAGACAGGAGAGCAGGAGAGCCCAAAGTCCTCTGGAGGGTGGTTTTTCTCAAAGAAAAATGTAAGATTGATTTAATCATTTTGTAAAAACGGAGCCTAAACTATTCTGTTGTTTATTGTGAAGTTTTATTGAGTAATATAGCTTAAAACACCGGGAATTGTCTGCGACCTTTTCCGGGCCTTGCTTCTGTATTTCCCTCCTTTTTTACTAATGTATTTTCAGTAAGTTAATTTGTGGCTTTTTTGCACGGATGAGAACTTGTAGTGTTTTAGCAGAAAGTCAGAAATAATGTTTTTGTATCTTAATGTGCAGATGTTTGTGTCCGATGATTATACTGTGATTTGCTGTTCACATTCTGAACAACGGTGTAGATACTTATAGATATGAGGACACTTGCATCGCAGTACGGTGTGCAGCAATTAAGCAATCCAGCTTTTTTAATTGTACATTTTTGAGTTATACTTTTTTTTTAACGTGATTTTCTTTCTGTTTGAAGCATCTTCACTCCAAAGGCCGGAAGGATGACCTGTTCAGCGACCCGTGCTACCGGCTCTTTGGAGAAGAGCTGAACAAAGTCTTGAAGGACTGGCAGCCCAGCGTGCTCCCTGACGGTGAGTCCATTAAAACATGTGCCTTCACCAAGAAGTGACCATTTTCTGATGTCTTTGCACAGTGTGCTGCTCAGAAGCTCCACCTGCTGGTGTAGATAAACTCTGTGTCCGATGATTATAACCATTTTGCTGTTCACATTCTGATCTCTGTGATTGGACTTTTATTCTTATATGAGGACACTTAAAGGTAGGGTAGGTAATTCACTTCAGAAACACTTTTTGTTATATTCCAAGGGATGCTCTTAACATCCCGATAGCAATGAATACATTAAATGCTTTGACAATAAATACATAAAGAAATATCATCTGTGGAAGCCGTGGCGCTGTAAAAAGCACGACCAATCATCTGAGCCGGCCCGGTTAAAATAACTGGATGGCCTACCTGCCTGTCAGCCTTCCATCTGTGCACAAACTTATCTCGTGCCCTCATTGGTCATGTGCGCGTTTTTGTGTGTTGGAGTGGCAGATTTTTTTCGGTTGTGTACTTTCAAATTCTAGCGCACTCGAGCTGGTTTCTCCATTCTTACCTACCCTGCCTTTAAACAACCAAATGAATTCTTTAGTTACAAAACAAATAACTAGTGTGGTGGCTGTGAAAAGGCATTTGTTAGATGTAAAACGTGGGGTTTTACACATCCTTTTATCAAGTGTTCCTCCCCCCCCCCCCCTATTTTTAACAACCTGTGTATGTAGTGTTGAATCATTGGGAAAATTCGGGACAGAGGTGATGTTTAAAGAAAATGCAGCATTTACAGAATAAGACAACTGACTATATATAATTATGGGGGGGGGGGGGAAGATTTCCCTTTTTTTTTTTTTTATATATACAATTGAAGGGATTTTACTTTAATACACTTGTGTTTGTTTTACTACTAAAGTGTTTGAGATTTTGTTACACCTGGTCAAAAAATATGAGTTAAAATAAATGCTTTTTAAATGGCTGCATTTCATTTAAGTCTGCAGAATAATGTCCTGCACAAATAAAAATAGATTAAGGGGCATAACTATTCCTTTACCCCGCACCTAATCTCCACCTTGGATCCGGCACACTGCTCTCCAGTCTAAAGATGTTTCCTTGTTTCCCCCTCAGGCTCGCTGTGGGGCCGGGTGCAGGAGCAGAGTCTGTGGAGCAGCCGGCAGCTCGGCCAGCAGAGTCCGGACGCCCTGCTGCGCTCGCTGGTTTACCTCAACACCAAACACCTGGGGCTGCGCACCGTGGAGCAGCACCTCCGCCTGTCCTTCGCCAACGTATACGGCCCCTACACCGTGCATCCTGTCACCAAGGAGACCAGCGTGTGCGTCCGCGTGCCTTCCCTCTCTCAGGATCACAGTGGTGAGACATGCAGTCAATCTTTCAGTTTGTGTGTACAGACGGAGAGATCGAAATACCGTTTCCCAGATATATATATACATGTATAATACCGTTTCCCACAATCCCAAATACAAATTACAGATTTTTTTTGCGTACTTTCAAATTCTAGCGCACTCGAGCTGGTTTCTCCATTCTTACCTACCCTACCTTTAATGTGCAGATGTTTGTGTCCGATGATTATACTGTGATTTGCTGTTCACATTCTGAACTACAGTGTTGATACTTATAAATATGAGGACACTTGCATCGCAGTACGGTGTGCAGCAATTAAGCAATCCAGCTTTTTTTAATTGTACATTTTTTTGTTATACTTAATTTTTTCTAAACGTGATTTTCTTTCTTTGAAACATCTTCATACAAATAAATATATGTATATCATATATATATATATATACATACACACACACACAATCAATCAACAGACACATTTTTACATATGTACACATTAAAGGGGACCTATCATGCAAAATGCACTTTTGTACGTCTTTTATACATGAATATGTGTCCCCGGTGTTCCAGGGAACTCACCAAGTGTCAGAAAACACAACCCTCTCTATTTTCCTCCATACCCAAATCTCTAAAAAAGGGGCTGCAACGGATCTGATCAAAACTGATCCAGATTTGAACACTTTCCTGACGTCAGGACAGTGGCGCTACAACCGCGGCATTCGAAAGCGCTGGAGACGCTGTAGTACATATGCCAGGCCTCTAGATGGTGCTGTTGCTCACAGAATCAATCCTTGCTGAAACAGATCTAAAAAATGTCAAATTGAGCAAAATGAGGCATGGCTAAAATGCATGATCTGTTTGGTATTTTGAAGGGGAAAAAAAGTATAAATATGCCTTATAGGTATGGTCCTATACTATATTATTCAAATATAGCATGATGGGTTCACTTTAAGATAAAAGCACAACAATCAATATATACAAAATAAGTCACTTCAATATCTTTGGGAATGTACATTAGTGTCATCACTGAGCGATCCTAACTCGCGACAGGGGAAGCGAAAACCCGTTAACATTTATGAAACTATTAATGTTCCATACTCACTTAAGAAGCCCTGAGACACAGTTTTGTGAAAAAAAAAAAAAAAAGCCTGCAGGAGCATGGGGCTTAACAGGTTAATGAAAAGTTTTTTTTATAGTTTATGTTGGAGGTTCATATTTTCAATCCTTTGTTCCTTCAGTGCAAACAACAGGGAAGAGGAAGCGGAGTTCAGAGGGCGGTGATCAGGACTTTGAAGCAGACGAGGACTCGGGAGACTCGTCTGCTCGCTGCCCGGTGAAGAAGAACGAGACTCAGCTGTACGACCTCTACAGATCCAAGTGGTGCGTTCAATGTCTTTACTGAGTATCTTATCCAGAGGAACAGACGAGGGGAATAAAAACAATGATACAAATCTCATGCTCGAGATCTTTCCGGGAGTATGTATATTGTTAGTCTGGCTGCAACAGCTAATGATTATTTTACTGCATATCAAGCCATTCATTGTATGATAGTTGTAATCTGTAGAAAGCTAGAGTTAGGGAGAGTTGCTCCATTGTGCGTCCCTCAGTCCTGTGATTATAACTAATTGCTGTTCACATCCAGAACTACAATGTTGACTTATTTAAATATGAGGACTTGCCATAAAATAATCTCAGTTGTCACTTCTTTCTCAATTATTTAAGATATTCAGAAATATAAATTCTTGGCCCCCACCTCCTACATATTTCCCCTTTTCGACATCCTTCCTATCCTTAATTTGTCAGGGTTCTTACGGTCATTGAAAACCTGGAAAAGTCATGGAAATTCAAAATGCTAATTCCAGGCCCTGGAAAAGTTATGGAAAACAATATTTTCCCCAAAGTTTTGGAAAAGTCATGGAAATGTAACTAAAGTTGCATCAAATATAATTTATATTTGATCTAATCGCTAAAATAGTAATACTATAATGATAATAAATACTGTATCGTAATGAAACGTAAAATGGCATTTAACTGACAAGGTATTTTGCCGGTGAGAGATTTTAGTTGCTTTAGCGTGTAGAAGCTAGTAAGCCTACTATTTGTTTTAGATAGGCACAACATGTTTCATATGCAGACCTTATTTTCCTGTTCCATGTTAAAATAAACCATTTTCAGTGGTACCGCTGAGAGTCATTTCTTTGGTCATGGAAAATTAGGTAAAGGTCATGGAGAAGTCATTGAAAATCATTGGTGAAAAAGTGTATGAACCCTGATTTGTATACATCTCTTTCCTTTTATTGTCACCACCTTCTCATCCTCATCTGCTTTCATCCCCCCCCCCCCCCTTATTTCCCCCTGCAGCCCGTCGTTGTTGCGGGAGCGTCTCGACGTCTTCTACGTTCAGCCGGACCCCTCGTGTGGTACCGACGACCCGCTGTGGTTCAGCTCCACGCCGCTGGAGAGACAGATCCTGGAGAGCCTGCTCACCAGAGTGCTCCTGGTCAGAGACGTTTACACAGACACACCCCACCTGGAGGAGGAGGAGGAGGAGGGTGGGGGTGAAGCAGCAGCTGGGGCAGAGTAGCACCTTTTGACTTTTGTTTGCAGAACACTCAGTGGAGGAGGAAGCAGGAGGAAGATAGAAGTGTGTGTGCTTTTCCTGTGTCCTACCCTCTTCCCTCACTTGCTGTTTCCTCCTGGGGAGGGGCGTCCACAACCAAGAACTGGAGGAGGATGGAAGTGGTGATGAAGAGCAGCTCAAACGTTCAGATGGATTCCCAAACAGAAGAGAAACAAGAGCAGAAATGAGTCCTGATGTGTGACCTAACTGGGGTTATGGGAGGCGCTTTAATCTGTTCTCATAGTGTATCAACGGTTATCATATTTTTGAAAATTGGTATGTGAAGTTGGAGGCCCAGCGTGCTTATAGTGCTCAGACATCAGCTTAATTATATTTAAACTTTTTTAACAACACAATTGTGAGACAGGTTATCAGCAGCAGGCCAAAGGACATGAAGTCATGAAGCTTTGTGTCCTCACCATCGCTCCGTGGATGGAAGACTGAGCAGAAGAACAGTTCAAGAGTTATTTTTTACAAAGATTAATAAGCGAAGGATAAGCAGAGGAAGGGTCTAGTGCCCCCATATGAGCAGATGGAAGAGGGGAGACTGGAGATTTCTACAAAAGCGAGCAGGTTGAAATTCCATCTTTGGATGCATGAACTGTACAGAAACCGAAATACAGGAAGGATCGTCTGTGCCGATATTCCCGACTGTTCCCGTTCAGCAGCTCGCCACGCCACATTAACTGATGCTCTATATTTCCAATTTCTATTTTAATAAACGATGATAAAACACCAAATGTACTATTGCGGGAAAATATTTTTGCAATGACCCGTCAGTGATTCAACTGTCATTCTATCCACTTCACTTGCTGGTTTGTAAAGTACCTACTGTTAAAAGAAAGCAACACTAATATGGGGTTGAAGATTTAAAATTCTTGCACACCTACTGTTAGTCTGCTGGACTTCTGCTCAGGTAAAGTTTGTCTTGGGGTTTTTAACATAAACTGTTGGAGTTTCCTGTTTCTGCGTGATCTCCATCAGACCTTTTGGCTGGACAGATGTTAGCCAATAGAAACATTATACTATATTTTATTCCAAACTAGTACATCACCATCCAATCGGAAGACAAATTGCAGCAATGCTCTATTTGGTTGCTCTGTTTTACTTAGTACCTGGATCAGAAAAGTGACCGCACCCTTTTCCATTGTTGTTGGAAGGGAATCTTTTGTGCCCGCATGTTTTAAGATCAAATTGTCACCTAACTCGATATTAAATCAAATAACATGATTTGCACCTGGGATTTGTCTTGCTACACTTCCAGGTTTAGGAAAACTGGTCCAAATGTCTTTCTGTTGCATGTTATCTTCTGTCCACAAACGGAGCACAAAGACCACTTCCTCTCAGTCAGGGTGACTTGCTGCTCTCACATCATAACTGAGGCTGAGCTGCTTCAGTTTCTTCCCATCATCCCTCACTCTCTTCCTGTCAGTTCTGCTCTCAGGAGAACCCGTTTTCACCACAGAGGGCTTTTGAGGAGTCTGATCCCAGGACAGTAAAAAGAGGACTGACTAACCCTCGTGCTCTGTGGTGCGGGTCAAAGACAACCTACTGACATGCTGCGTTTCTTCATGGACTTCAGGGGAACCTTCACTGATGCGATGTAGCATTATGGGGGTGCTAAACGCAGATTGAGTTGCTTTCAAAGTGTAAATATCTCTGAAACGAGATGGAGTCACCACAGAGGGGAAAGAAAAACACCCAGTGAGATCTTCAGCTTGACCAAACCCTTTTTTTAAAAGACTATTTATTTATCCTTTCATTAGTTTATCCTCTTTACGTCGGGATGGGTTACTTATTTCTACGGGTGCCATTTCCTCTTCAGCCCTCGTTCATTAACAACCTGCTGCACCCCCTCGCCTCTCCTGAACACGAAGGACAGATTATTCAGAGACTATTTTAGAGAATTATCTTTCCGCTTTAGATCCCGTGTTTGTACTTCCCTGGCTTGTCTCTGCTATTCTGAGTCTCCTTTTAAGACTTAAGTATTGATTTAGTTAAAACTGAGCACTTTTTAGTAAGTGCCCTATTCTTCCAAGCTGTTTAGAGTGATAGCACTGCTAAAATGACGCCTATATTATTACAAAGTGGTCGGACATTTTGTTGTTTTTCTTCATTGTTTTACACAAATTGTTTCTTCGTTTTGTTTTTTATTCATGTCCGTAATGTCCCCATTCTTTTACTTTTCATTTTTGGAGTTTAATTTGCTTTCTGATTGTTTCAATAAATTGGAGAAAGTGTCATCAAGTTTAAAATCGAAGTGAACACTATTTGGGATTTTCTTTTCTTCTACTTTCTTGTTCACATTAACTTTCCTTTTAAAGGGAGAACACTCTGAGATGTGAAGATGAATGAAATATACACGTATACGTTTTCTCAAGTGCTCAAATAACAGGAACACCCCACAGAATTTGTCACCACCACCATTATTACTAAATCGGAAAAAAACAACTGACTGAAGTGGATTAAACAGATTACGAGAAACCACTTCCAGAGTTTTAGTTTTTCTAAAGAGCAGGTGTTCCTGTTATTTTGTACACTTGTAAGTGCATCTAACACTAGAAGTGCATTTGAGGAACAGTTTTTTTGGGGGACATGGAGGGTAAACATTGGGCTATTGCTGACACCAGACCAGAGTCCCTAAAACCTTTTACATGTTGGAAGCTGACTGAACTGACCCCGGATCAGAGACCCCAGATCAGACCTGCTGCAGACGCTGTGGCTCTAATGCCGAATGTGAATGTGCCTATCTGTAAATACTGGAAGTGAGTGACTGTGACTTGAGTCTGATGCTTTGTGTGTGGGCTGATCATGTTAAATAAATGATTTCTTTTTCTAACCTATGGTGATGTTTTAATTTGCCTGTAGAAAAACAAAGAGTCAGGTAACTCACTTTAGTCCTGAGGTTTGATGTGGAGATTTGGAGAGAAACATGTGCTGCTAACCTTACATAATGGAGGTAAATTGAATATCCATGCATTCAAAGCAGTACAAAATTGCTACTTGATCTTAAAGGGGCCCTATAATGCACATTTTCAGGTTCATATTTGTATTTAGTGTCTACTGTGACATGTCTCCATGCTTTAATGTTCAAAAAGCTCTTTATTTTCTCATACTGCCTGTGCTGCAGCACCTCTTTTCACCCTCTGTCTGAAACCAGAGCCCAATAGAAGCGCAAGTGTTACATCGTGATGTAACTATCTTCCAGAAGTAAACAAAAAGGGTCTGTAAATTATCCAGAGTAACTAGGAACATTTTCGTTACCCAGCTCTTTCCTACACGTTGAAAATTGGCATCAGAAGGTCAGAATATAATGCTTAATGTCTTAAACATTTCACACCTCTGGTTTAAGTTCTAGCTCAGTTTGGATAACTATTCACAGAAAAGACACTCAAATAAATCAACACATTTCTTCCAAATGTCAAACTTTATGACAAGGTGAAGGGTGGATGACATTAGGCAAGAATTTTCCACCTGATTAAAGTTACTAGAGTGTTTTCATTGACACAACATGGAGGCCTCTTTGTGTTCTGACCTTCCTCACTATCATGTCCCCTTTTTCTTTTTTACAAGGTGCCAGGCTGATATGGGAGGGAGGCAGGAAGAGTTATCTAAGAGATGACAGACAGCAGAGGAGGAGGAGGCCTGTCGACGCCCAGGGGTCAGAGTCAAGAGACAGGAAGTCGTGTTAAGGTAAAAAAGGCGGGATCTGTTGTTTCACCAGGCAGCGACGCAGAGTGGTTGTCGAAGTAAGATCCTGCTTTTCTCAACTTTATATCAAATTACAGCGAATATCTTTGAGTTATGGACTCACAAACAATATGAAATCTTTGACGTTTAAGAAATGGGGATGTACTTTTACACTATTTAAGGACACTAAAGACATAGACTGTTTTGTAGACCCCACACTGCTCCCCTGTACTTGTTAAGAATGACTTCAATCACTGCTCCAATGCAACATAAAATATATACTTCCCATAAAAGTACAATGAAAATAGTGCAATACACAAAATGGTTCAAGTATGTCGCAGGAATAAGAAAAATATATGCATAAGGAATAAAAAAAGATAAAACACAATGCAATTAAAATATTTTAGAGTAGAATAAATACTTGATACTTTAATAATACATACAGGTTTGGATGAGAGGAGAATAAATGTGTGTAAATCAACATGGCCATACATTATTTTAATGGTGACACTTTTATTTTATTATTAAATACAATAACAAAACAAAAACATTTTAGTTATTATTTTATTTACTTCTTTTTACTCCACATTTATGTATTACTTATGTCTTATTTGCCTTATTTTATGTAGATCTCTTTACATTTCCATGTGTTTTATTTACCTATCATTTCATTTATTATTATTTTCCCTAAATTATTGTTATTTATGGCACTCCAATGACTCTCCCTCAGATCTGGACTGGAAGAAAAACTCCAGACTGTGGCCTGAATCTAGTGGTGCCGTATTGGTTAAATATATTAAAGACCAGTAAATGGTAATAGAGCAGTGTCCTATCCCTCCCAGTGGGGGGCGCTCTGCCCTCGCAGTGACCCCCTCCCCTGAGGTCCGGCAGAGTGTTTCTGAGCTGCTGGTTGATCGGCCGTCAGCACCAGCAGACGTGTTGTTAAACTGTAACCTCCATCATTAGCCGAGGGCCGAGCCGCTGCTTTGTTGAGCTTCACTATCAGGAGCCTCATCTGACAAGAGGTTCCTCTGCAGCCCACCCCCCCTCCCATGAGCCTCTGCACACCACCCCATCCCCCTTTACTCCTCTTTACTCCCCAGCCTCGCCCTCCACACAGAAGAAGCATTGCATGAACATCTAATATTTTGGAGGCTTTAAGGGAAAAACTGTAAACTATCCCTTATATTTCATCATACTTTTTCTGCTGTGGCTGGAGGTACAAAACACGGTGACAAAACCCACATTTTTGAAGAGGCAAGCTCTTTCCTTTCTGTGCTATCTGTCAGAGTTGGCCAGACTCCAGTAACTTGTCCCATTGATCTAAAGCTGAAACGGCCCTGAGCTCCACGGCCCACCAGGGAGCGGGTGTACAAACATTTTTTCACCCTCGTGGGTTTTTTTTTTGTTTGGGCTCAATCCCCAGCTCTTTCAGGGGGCATAAAGAAAGCGCTGTGGTCAGCAGGGTCATGTGGGCGAGGCCCGGGGGGGAGACTATAGGCGGCGATTAGGGCCTCTAATGTGCAACGAATCCTCTACGAATCACATGATATGAACAAATGTCGCCATTTAATGATAAAACAACAACCTCTGGTGGGAGGGAAGGGCCAGTGTGTGGGAGTGTGTGTGTGTAAGTGTGTGTGGATGCAGTGCACAGCTGCAAAGAGGACAAGAGGGCAGGAATGGATGACAACTGCATTTCTCAGGTTGTGTGCCTCAACATGCGGCACAGGACCAGTTGGAGGACGGGAAAAGGTTTATCTGGGATCTGGGTTAAAGTGCAACACACATGTTCTCTCCTCTCCACTTCCTGGAGGATTTAGTTTTTTAATAAAGCTCCAAATATATCCACTTATGTCTTGGATAAGTCATGGCTTCCTTCAAACTGAGGATGACGATATCTGGATTTAATTTCATGGACAACAACTGTCTAACCCTACATAGACACATAAGACACACGTACACACACATAAGACACACATACACACAAACAACAGTGTAACCTTGACTCTGACTGGTGGGGAAGCAGAGTGGGGGGGCTTGGATTAAGTTAAATTTAGGATAGGCTGACCAGAGAGAAGCCGTGTGCACAACAATCCCTTCAGCGCAGAGTCACCATCTCCACTTTTTCAAAAAAGCCCACTGGTTGAGATATCACACACACACACACACACACACACACACACACACACACACACACACACACACACACACACACACACACACACACACAGGCCCTAGAAATTAAAATGTCTTAAATGCGAATGAGAAACATGAGAAGTATGATAACTGAAAGAGGTTTTAAAGTGTCTGCAGCTCTGTGGTGACGAGTGAGCTCGGGTCACGTAAGGTCACTGAGGTTTAGAGCAGAGTGAGGAGAGGCTGACACTTTTCACATTAGTGTCAATGTGTTTGTGTCCTATCGTTAACCCCCCAAAGAGTCAGGTGAAAACATTTATTTTAACCTCACATTTTTTCCGTTTGAAGCATTTTTAGGGTCATGATGACTGTACATGCAGGTGTCAGCCAGGTGCATTGTGGGCACTGGGTCCTTTCCCTTACCTCACCTGTAGGTGTCCCTGCAGAGCTGACCTCCCCTCACATAGTTCTGTCATAAAGCTGTCCCCCTCCTGTATCTATGGACAATCAAAACAAGCCCCCCCCCCCCACTGCATACTGTACTAATGCTGCAACATTACATCATGTGTAGTATGGGAGGAGGCCCTCTTTAAATCCAACAAATGAATTCATGTATCGACTAGAGGAGATTTGATTTGACTTATTTAGAATTTGTTAGATTTCTTTTGTCAAGTCAGTCAAACAAAAAGTGGGTTTTCTTGTCCTGTGTGACACTACATTTTTTTTAGGTTTATTGCTTATTTTTTAATACAACATTCCAAACAACAATTTTCCCTCCTCAAAATAGGTAATTAAATAAGTAAAAAATAAATAATGAAAGTTTACATACCGTATTTAAATGTACAAATGTATGGTGGCAATTTATCCAAGTGCTTAATAAAAACATATTACATGTCAACATATAGCTAAGTGAATAGACTTTCAAAATAAAGGTAACAGTGCCGGTAAAAGTTATTTCATAACAATTGAATTCTTTTTTTTGATTCGCGGCTGAGATTTCTGATGGTCTTTATTCTCTTACTGACCAGTTTGTGAACTAAACATTGTTTCTTTAAAATGATTAAACGTAATTTATTATTATGAATTATATAACGGTACGTAACAAGCGCCTGTTGAGTCCTACATCACCTCTCTGCTGTTATTACTTCTATATGACAGTGTAATGGTGCTGAGAGCGTGGCTGTGGCAACGCTTTATGATTTATTCTTTCATTATTATTGTGAGCACACTATTTGCAGCGTATTCTTCTATTCTTTAAAGGAGGTATTATTGACTGGTCATTTTAAGTTTGTACGACTTGTTGTGTAAGTATGGGATGTAATGATTCTGGAAAATAAACTTCTAGCTGTGTGAAGACAGGCATATGTCAAGATCAAAATGAGGGGAAAATACTATGAAAAATACATAACAGTTAAATAAATACATACAATTCATAAAAGTGTGTCTAAAAATAAAAGTAAGCACTCCCTAAAAATGTAAAGTTATTTTTATTCTATTTTCTTTTTTTACAGTAAATCACCTTTTCTTAGGGATGATTTAAAAAATGCATTTAAAGTCTTATTGAAATTTCAGACTTTTTAAATGCATTTTGGTAAATAACTTTGAAGTTGCATGATCTAAACCACATGTGTCAAACTGAAGGCCCGGGGGCCAAATTAGGCCCTTGGTGGATTTAATTTCGGCCCGCAGGATAATTTTAAATTACTATTAGATCTGGCCCGCCGGTATATTGCACGCACACCTTCACTCAATCCTGAGGATTTCCTCAGCTCAGAGCCTGACCCCAAACATTGATGAACTTGCACCCAAGATGAGATGCCAAGTATCTGGCTTGAACTAGCTTCACAGAGCAGCACACTGAGTTTCAATGGATGTTTCCTTTTGCACTTTTTCTCTCACGACAGCAGGGCATGTTTGGTTTTTTCTTTGAGGGAAATAGTTTTTTTGAAGCTGTTGTTGGCCTGTGGAAAAATGTAATCATAAGAAATGACTCTGGAAAAGCTTCAGATA